CTTCCGTCGCTAGCCTTCTCTATCAATCGTCCTCCGTCGTTCTCCTCCCCCCTCCTCCTATATCATACTTTGTCCTCCTTCCATTTCGTCAAACCCGAAGCTACACTTCCCCCACCTCCCCCTCCTTCGATCCTATCGCCCCAACGTCCCTCTTCTTTCTTCCTCCTCCATCCTCTCTCCATTATTTGAAGACGCCCCCCCTGTTGAGGGGAACTGCCGCGCGGCTTTTGCCTGAACGCCCCACGGTTCCTGGAGGGGTCGGCGCGCCCAGAGTTGCGGCAGTTTCCCCCGACAACTCCTCGGACCTCCCCCTGCCCCGAAAATTGTCGGACCCCTGGGGGGCCTCCAACAGCCGGCCAAAGACCGCCCGACAAATTTGAACACGGGTGGCGTGAAAAACTGCGTGGGAATCTGCCGTGGATTTTTTTGGGTCTTGCAATCGACTGTAAAAAATCGTTGGCGGTTTTCCGCCGGGTTCCTCACGGCTGCGGTGGCGAGAAGCATGTCGCGTTCTTGGTGGCCATCTGAAGCCGCCCCGGGATACTGAATGCAATGTTGGAGACCATTTTGGTGTCATCTCGAGCTCTTTTGGAGCCTTCTGGGAGCCCCCTTGGGGCTCTCTTGGGATAATTTTGGAGGCCCTGGGCGGCCTCTTGGGGCCATATTGGAGGAGATCGATCAATATAGGGGGGCGGCCCTAACAGCGTCGCCCCTCTAGAGCTCCCACAGCCGTCTCTTGGGGCTCTCTGGGGGCGCTCTTGGGGCGCTCTTGGGCGCTTTTGGGACCGTCTTGGAGCCCTCTTGGGCCCTTCTTGGAGCTCTCTTGGGCCATCTTGGAACCATCTGGAGGCCTCAGAAGTCCATTGGGCGCAGAAAGGCGGGAATGCAGCAATGGTTGTCTTCGCCTTAGGTATTGGAATGATTTTGGCGTGTCGGGGGCTTCCCTGGGGGGGCCCGTGGCCACTGGAGGCCATCTTGTGAGGTCTTGGGGCCTATTGGAGCATCTTCGAAGCCATCTTGAGCTATCTTCAATAATATTAGGCCATATAGGGGGCCATCTTCAAGTCTCTGAGGCCATCTTGAGGCTATATTAGGTCATCTTGGACGCTCGAACGCCTCCCCGCACCCCTGGTCCAGCCCCATGGGGGAAGGGGGGGGGGAGATCATTCCCAGAAGGGGAAAAGGGAGGTTGAAAGATGAAACGATTCAAACCACCTCCGCCCAGAGGGCTTGTGGGATTTCTTTCGATTTTCCCCGGGGACCAGCCCTGCGGGTGCAGAGGCCTTCGGTGCGCAGGAGAGGGCAGCGTGAATGCCGCCGTGCAGGCAAGAGAGAAAACCACCGTCGAATTGAACTGTCTTTAAACGGTTGTCCTGAGAACGCGGCCGAAATTCCGCCGCGACATCACCAAAGTGTCGCACTCGGGCGCCCCAGAAGAAGTATAGAGGAAGGGGTGGAGGAGGAAGAAGGCGACTCGAGGTTGTCAAATCGCGGCTCAAACCACAGCCCCGAAGTCGAGCAATAACCTCGGGTTCGATCGAGACCAAATAACTTACGGGGCGCACATGTAGACATTAATACGATACGAAATGTCAATGGAAACATATCGGCGCCACGCGGCGAGTGAGGTGAAAGGAGGAGGACGACGAATGGAGGGACAGAGAAAGACGGAACAGTTTACAATAACGCGCGTTGGCAAAGAATGCGCGCTCCGCCGAGAATGCGGGCTCGCGCTTGTACGCCCGACAACATGCGCGCGGTGTCTGGCATGGTTGCGAATCGTTGAGCATAAAATCAATTGTGGATTTCGCCGGCAAAATCGTCGCCGACCTTCTTAGGGCTCGGAGAGCGTGAGCATTTCTCCTGCTTGCTCCGTCGTGTTGTGCTGGCGCCGTTTCGGCGACCCCTCGCACTCTTCCCGCGCCCGTTCCCCCCGGTCGACGCTAAGATGCGTCTCCTTGAATTTGCTCGGCATGCTTGCATGTGCGGTCGGCTGTCGACAGCGACGGCTGGATTCGCAAATTATCTGGCTCCGTGCCCCAGTCAGCTCGATTGACCCGCCCTCTGGAGCCTTCCTTTGGGCCGCAGATCAAAAAATATTCCCACCAGCCCATCCACAAACGATGCCTTGGCAACTTGCGTTGATCAGGGAAGCGGGGGAACATACAGAGGAACAACGTGCTGGAGAAATCGTCGTACCCCAAGAGGGGAAGGAAGGAGGAGAAATCGGAGGAGGAGAAGGAGGAGGGCGAGGAGGAGGAAGGAGGAGGACAACGTGGAGAAGGACGAGGAGCAGGAGGATGTTGGGGAGGGGGAGGAGGGAGGAGGGAGGAGGACGAGGAGGATGCATAGGCGGATGAGGATGAGGAGGGGGAGGAGGAGGAGGAGAGGAGGAGGAGGAGGTGGAGGAGGAGGAGGAGGAGGAGGAGGAGAAAAGGCGCGAGCAAACGAGCCAGAAGCCTCTTGAATGCGATGCCTCTCGGAGTCTCGTCGGATGTGTCTTGGAAGCTTTTTGGGAACCTCTTGGAGCGTCTTGGGGGCATCTTGGCAGGCCCGGGGCCGTCTTTGAGCGCCTTGGGTGCCTCGGAGATCCTCCTGAAGCTTCTTGGGGGCCTCTTGGGGGCCTCTTGGAGGCCTCTTAGGCGCCTCTTGGGGCCGTCTGGACACCTCGTGGGGCTCTCTTGGGGCGCTCTTGGGAGCCTTGGAGACGCTCTGGGAGCCATCTTGGAGGACATCGATATCAAAAAAGAGGGGTTCCTCAATTAGCGCTGCCCCTAAGGAGCCCCAACAATCGTCTTTGGGGTGCTCTTGGGGTGCTCTCGGGGCGCTCTTGGGCGTTCTTGGGGCCGTCTTGGGGCCCTCTTGGGCTTCTCATGGAGCCCTCTTGGGGCATCTAAGAGCCATCTTGAGGCCTCGGAAGGCTATCGAAAGCGAACGGACGACGATGCAAACACCATTGGTTTTCCTAAAGTGTTTGAAGCATTCAGACCTCCCTGGGGGTCTCGGAGGCCTCTTGGGGCCGTCTTGGGGCTGTTTGGGGGCTTTTTTTTTGAGCATCTTCGGAGCCATCTTGAGGCACTCTAGGCTACCTTGAGCCATCTTGGGCTCTCCGAGGCGCTCTTGGAGCCGTCTGGGGCCAACTCTCCAACTACCAGCGGAACCCCCGTTCAGGTCCAGGGGAGGGGGTAGAGGGAAGGATCAGGACGCCCTGCCTGCCCGCAAACCGTCTCGCTCACTCCCACCCGCCCGGGTCTGGCCCGAACCGCAGCATATGCAGCAGTCGTTTGTGGATGGGCAGGTGCTGGGGGCCAATCCGCCTCCGCCGCCGCCGCCGCCCGCCGCCGCCGCCGCCGCAGCGCCGCCGCCGCCGCCGCCGCCGCCGCCCGCCGCCACCGAGCCGCCCGCCGCCGCCGCCGCCGCCGCCGCCGCCGCCGCCCCCGCTGCCGAATCGCCGCAGCCGCAGCCGCGCCCGCCGCAGCCGCTGCCGGCCGCCGCCGCGCCGCCGCCGCCGCCGCCGCCGCCGCGCCGCCGCCTCCGCCGCCGCCGCCCCCGCCGCCGCCGCCACCGCCGCCGCCACCGCCGCAGCCGCCGCAGCCGCTGCCCCCGCCGCAGCCGCCGCCGCCGCCGCCAAGTGTAGTCTGTATTGTTTTTGTTGACAGGGATGGTGGGGGGAGGCCGCGTCGGGTTCGCTGCGCACGCTTAGATTTTGGAGGCACGGTGTGTTTTGTTTTGTTTTTTGCAAGGGATGGTGGGGGGGTGCCCTCATTGACTCGGGTTGGCTCCCAGTCGCCTGGGGGAGGGGGTGTATATTAATAGGGAACAATGACAAACCCCTCCCCGAAGGGGTAGAAGGGGGTTGGAATTGGAGCCGGCCCTAGACCACCTACGCCTTCAAGGGCTGGTTGGATTTGGGCGCGTGTCCATCACACATTTGCTTGCCACCAGCATGCTTCCACAGGGTAAGACATGAGGCGCACTCGGCAACGTGTAGTCAATGCCATGCGCCCATGCTGGGAGGATCTGTCTTCCAGGTTGTGCGGGCCGCGTGCACGCACAGTCATGTTGTGTCGCTATCACGGGGGGGGTGGTCGCCGGCTGGCAGAAGACTTGAAGTTCCGCTCTGTCAGCCCTTCGATTGCAAGTGTTTTTTTGATCGTGAAGCCAGCGTGTGAGTGAGCATTCCACTGTTCCCAACCCTGCGCGATCTTTATTGAGCATTTTTTTGCTTGTGAGCGCGTTCAGAGCTGACTCTTTCACAGATAGCAGGAATCACGACGTTGCTCTGCGATTCATTGGCTGACGCCCCACCGCCGACCCCTTGGGGCGGCAATAAGAATGAGCATCTGAGTTTGCGGAACGCGCGCGATTTTTGGGGAATCTTGGGGTTCCAGCTTTTTTGGATTTCGTCGGGGGCGGTTGGCGGAGCGCGGCTCTGATCTTGGGCTTCTCTGGGCTTTCTTGGCAACACTTATGAATACTTTGAGGCCTCTTGGGGGCCGTTTTGAGGCCTCGATGGGGCATCTTTTGGGCCTCTCGGGGGCCTCGTGGGAGCCTCTTGGGGGCCATTTGGCGCCTCCTCAGGTTTTTTAGGCGCCGAGTGCTCGAGATGTCCGTTCGGGTTCCCCCTCTGGGCCTCCTCTTGGGGCCGTCCTGGAACTCTCCTGGGCCGTTTTGGAAGCTTCTGGGGCCGTCTTGGGCCCTTATTCCCCTGGGGGATATGACGATTTTTGCTTCTGGAGGGCTTCTTGGGACGCCTCTTGGTGGCTTCTTGGGGCGTCTTTGGGGCCGTCTGGGGCCGTCTGTAGGCAATCTTGGGCGTCTTGGAGCGATCTTTCGGCGATTCGTAGCCCTCTTGTACCGTTCAGGGCGCCTTTTGGGGCCCCCCCCCCTCCAAACCGGCCAGACGGGGCTCCCGGGGGAGGGGCTTGTGGAGGGGGAAGCATCTCACACACCGTGTTTCTAAGGGGTCGGCGGATGTACTGCCGTCTTCAACTCCGCTGATGAGGTTCCGTGCAGCTCTCCCGGTTGAGTGTCTGCGCCCCGGTGGGGAAGTTCGCACGGATGACATCGGCTTCTGAGCGGATGCAGCATGGTGGTAGTAGAGAGACGGGAGAGGTACTGAAGATTGGAGAGCGCAGCGGCGACCCCGCCGTTGGCGTTCAAGGTTGGAAGTTTCCAGTGATCCAGTATCGGCTAATATCGAATGATCTGGCGATCGAGCAGCAACATACATATCAAGTTTGAATGATCCACCCGATGCCAGAGACCAACGCCAGGGCCGTCACGACACGGTTTTGCCGTCGCAGGTGAGGCAGGGGGTACCCCGACTTGAGCACGGCATGCCATGGCGAGGCCGCATGTATTTCAGCGCGTGCCAGCTTTGAAGCGCCGCCACTCCCAGGCAGAGAAGCTTTGTCAGCAGGCAGAACCTTAATTTGGACGTGTCCATCACACATTTGTTTGCCCCCAGCATGCTTCCACAGAGTAAGACATGAGGCGTATTCGGCAATGTGTAGTCACTGCCATGCGCCCATGCTGAGAGGATCTGCCTTCCAGGATGTGCTGGCTGCGTACACGCACAGGCATGTTGTATCGCTATCCGGGGGGGGAGGGACGTCGGTTGGCAGAAGAATGGAAGTTCCGCTCAGGCAGTCCCTCGATTTAAAGTTTCCCTTGAGCGCGAAGCCAGAGTATGAGTGAGCACTCCACTGTTCCCAACCCTGCGCGTTCTTTGTCGAGCACTTTTAGTCTGGGAGCGAGCGCGTTCAGAGCTGACTCCTTCACAGATACCACGAATCACGATGTGGTTCTGCGATTTACTGCCGTCTTCAGCTCAGCTGATGAGGTCCCGTGCAGCTCTCCCGGTTGAGTGTCTGCGCCCGGGTGGGGAAGTTCGCACGGAGAACATCGGTTTTTGAACGGTTTCAGAAAGGTGGTAGTTGAGAGACGGGAGAGGTACAGAAGATTGAATAATGATGGTTATGCAGCGTTTTTGTGATTCCAGACAGCACTATACCCTCCAAAGGTCAGTTGTGTGATGGCGATATGATTGCCTTGCTTCCACATGTTTCAAGTTCATTGCACCATGCCGCCCTTACGTTCTGGCGGGCACTTGCACGCAAGGACGCAAGCTCTCAGGTAATTCAATGTCGAGCTCGCTCGGCTAGTTACATAAACACCCAACCCCGTGGATTCTTGGCATTCATATACATCTCGCGGATGACCATACCAGCCACACGTTGCGCAGGACGGGTTCGCATCTTTCAATTGTTCCTCCGACCCTTTACGTACTTTTGAGTTTGGGTCAGGCGGTTACCAATGACAAGTTTAACAGTGTCTTCGGCCTCGGCACCCATCCTCGATGCCCTGCCTCATGGGGCATCCTGCAGCATGCACTGTGCACGCCCAGTCTTGAGGGCGGGTCTAGCAGTGCCTCTCGTGCCGATTGCGTCGGCGACCGACGCGACGACGGCGCAGTTTAAGAGAGCGGTTCGCTCTTTTCTTGCTGTGCCGACCACCGGAAACGTTGGAGGTTGGGGCTTGAACGCATTTCTGGGTCGAGGCGGCTTGAGTTGGGACAGACCACAAAGTCTAGCCTGGTGATGGATCCAACCCTGCGCAGATGTCTGTACCGAAGGGCGTGGCCTTCTCTTTCTACACCGCGCGCTTCAGGATGGTGTGGATGCGGCAGGTTTGTGTCGTGCCGACGCGCCGACGAGCCCAGCGCGGGCGTTCAAGGTTAAACGCCGCCGGAGGCCCGGGATCGGCCAGTATGGAACGATTTAGTTTTTGGAGACCCGCCGATCGATCCGATGCGGCGTCAGAAACCAACGCCGAAGTCGTCTCGGCACGAACCTGCCGCATGTGGTTGTGGGTCTCAGGTGCAGAGACACATTGAGCAGTGTGCCGAACTCACGTAATGTGTGAGGGGATTGCCGAGATGGGCAGATGAAGCATGGGGTCCTCGATGGAGCATGGGGCTACGAAGCAAGTGAGGAGAGTACCGGCACGGGCGGGGTGGGGGGGGCGCCATTTGGCCTTGCCCGCTGGGGCGTTTGGTGGAGCTCCCTCCCTGTGAGGCCAATGCGCCGACATGGGAGGGGGGACGCCACGTAGCAGTCCCTGTTTGTGCCTTCGGTGGAGCTCCCTACGGGGCCACGAAACGTGTGAGCGGTGTGCCGAAATCAGCATGTCAAGAGCATAGGCACAGAAAGGAGGGGGTAAGCGGAAGGGGAGGTGGACCGGAACGTTGTGGGCCCGACAGCACAGGACATTTGGAAACGAGGTACGCTGACGCCATGCCTCCGTCGAGTCAAACGTCTCTACATCTCTGGCCCTCCAACGTTTTGCTTTGTTCGATGCGTGCCACTTTGGCTACACAAGTTTCGGCCTCCAGGGTCCGTTCTCGGGCCAAAGGACCGTCAGAGAACGATCTGGTCCCAGGGAAGGACTGCAGAGGTCCTGGGGGCCACGTGACGAAAAGGACGCACGGGTCCCAGTAGTCCTCCCTCGTCATGTTCGCTCTCCCCTTCGGCGGTGAGCGAGGGGGGTAAGTGAGAAGTAGAAGGCCTTCTTAAAAGGCAGCGGGCTGAGAGGTTTCCTGTGTCTTTGGGGAGTTCTTCGAAAATATCTCAGAAGGCCAGGGGACTTCCGAGCTTTCTAAGAAGGCGTTCTCCTACTCCTCCTCCTCCGCCTCCTCCTCCTTCTCCCCCTCTCCCATCTCTTTGCCTTCGGCTTTCCACGTCCCCTCGTGTGGACCGGCACGGCCTTGGGGCCCCCTTCGACCTGGAGGGGGCGGTGGTGCTTTCCCGTGGGCGCTGCTGCTATTGATCCAGTCGGCTCCCGTCGTCTGCTCGCTCGCTCGCGACTCGAGCTTTCTCTCTCTCTCTCTCTCGCCCAATGCCAGGAGACCCCTGGATATACATATCCTGGGAGTTGCAGCGGCGGGAGCAGGACGCCATCGACCCAGCCCTCACCAGAGGAGGGCGAGGGAGGTGGCCAAGGCGGGAGTGGGACGGAGGGGGATGGAGGAGGAGGGAGCAGCGAGAGGTGGAGGGGAGGAAGTTAGGAGGGAGGAGGGAGAAGGCGGAGGAGAGAGAGAGAGAGAGAGAGGAGTGAGGAAGCGAAGGAGGGACGAGGAGTGGGAGTAAATAGGAGGATGAGGAGGAGCCGGTGGCGGAATGCGCTCCTTTTTCCAGTTCTGCGCCGATTTTGGGGAACTCGTATATTTTATGCGATCAAGGTTTGGTTCGACTCGTGCGTCAGAGGAGGAACATACAAGGATTCCGCGGCACACGCCCCGTCGCCACGGATGGATTCGCCTCGAGAAAGTCTGGTCCCGGGAGAGGTCCCAGAGCGGCGGTATCCGTACCTTTTTTCCCCTTCCTCCTGTACGGGTGGGTATGGTGCGGGTTTGCCGAGACTTTCAAGTTATTCAGTAGGTTTTCGCCACATCCGCCGACCCTCTGTTTCTGTTCGCAGGACCGACTTCTACAGCTGGTATGGGGTTGCGCATTCGGCGTGTTTGGCAGAGCGATGAAAGTTGCATACATATGTGTATATGGAAATATATACATATTTACACACATATACATATACACACATGTATGTATGTATAGATATGCGTATATGCATATATGTAACTGTGCAGGAGAGGGAGAGAAAACGAGAAAGAGAGAACGAGAGAGAGAGAGAGAGAGATGAAACGATGGTGGGAGGAGGGAGGGTGAGAGGAAGAATGGAGCGCGAGGCCTGCTGGGATGCTCGTTGCCCCGACCACCATTCGAGGACAGGCGGCGCACGGTGCCGTGCGTCGGAACGGCCGCCTTCGCTTCCAGCATCCGTTTACTTCTGAAGAGGGGGGGGCTTGGGCCGGCGCGAACGGCGCCGCCGTTTTGGCCGGGGGGGGATTTTAGGGGAACGCAGAATGACATAAACATAAGAATTCGGAGGTCCGCGCAGATTTCTTGGATCGGCGCTGGGGCCCCCTGGCGGCGCCTCCGGCGCCGCCCCTGGCGCGCTCCGCGCGCCAGGGAGGGGGGGCCAGCGCGGATCCAAGAAATCCTCGCGGACCTCCGAGTTTTATATTTGTGTCATTGTTCATTCCCCTAAACGTGCCAAGCACCGCCCACCAAACCACCCCAACCCAACCCGAACCCCCCAATGTGCCCTCCATTTCCAGTGGGGGGGGGACGGGGAACACATGAAGCTCGTACCCCCCCAACCCGAAATTCGGATCATCCGGTAGGGTTGGGGTGGTCTGGTAAGTAGGCAGCCAGTGAACGGGAGTGCCTGGGCAGGCCATGCTCCCTGTCCGCGGATCGAAGCTCGAGGCTTCTTCGCACGGTGGCTCCTGGCGTGTCGACCTGGCGGCGGCCATGCCGCTGTCAAGGATGAACCTTAGGTCGGGCCTGTCCCTCTACAGGAGGAAAATTCAAACATAGTCACACAAAACAGCAGTCAGGGGACGAGTTGTTCCCGGCGGAGCTGGGTGAAATTCCGTGCCCGCCGGTGACTGACTGTTGGTTGATTGACAGATTGACTGAAAGATTGACCGACGGAACGTCAGGAGGGCGCCTTGAACAACACATTTCAAACCGCCTGCGGGCGCGCAACCAGAACTGGGCGACACATTTCGACCGGTCCGCGGGCACGCAACCGCAATCGCAACTGAGCAACAAATTCCAACCCGCCCGCGGGCGCGCAACCGCAACCGCACCTGGGCGACACATTTCAACCCGCCCGCGGGCGCGCTAGCGCAACTGGGCGATACATTTCAAACCGCCCGCGGGCGCGCAACTGCAACCGCAACTGGGCGACGCATTTCGACCTGCCCGCGGGCGCGCAACCGCAACCGCAACTGGGCGACACATTTCAACCCGCCCGCGGGCGCGCAACCGCAACCGCACCTGGCGACACATCTCAACGCGCAAGCGCAACCGCGGGCGCGCGCCGCAACCGCAACTGGGCGCCACATTTCGACCCGCCCGCGGGCGCGCAACCGCAACTGGGCAACACATTTCAACCCGCCGCGGGCGCGCAACCGCAAGCGACGCCCGCGGGCGCGCACCGCAACCGCAACTACGCGACACATTTCGACCCGCCCGCGGGCGCGCAACCGCAACCGCAACTGGGCGACGCATTTCAAACCGCCCGCGGGCGCGCAACCGCAACCGCAACTGGGCGACACATTTCAAACCGCCTGCGGGTGCGCAACCGCAGCCGCAACTGGGCGACGCATTTCGACCCGCCCGCGGGCGCGCAACTGCAATCGCTACTGGGCGACGCGTTTCAAACCGCCCGCGGGCGCGCAACCGCAACCGCACCTGGGCGACACATTTCAACCCGCCCGCGGGCGCGCAAAGGCAACTACGCGACGCATTTCGACCTGCCCGCGGGCGCGCAACCGCAACCGCACCTGGGCGACGCATTTCAAACCGCCCGCGGGCGCGCAACCGCAACCGCACCTGGGCGACGCATTTCAAACCGCCCGCGGGCGCGCAAGCGCAACTGGGCGACGCATTCCAAACCGCCCGCGGGCACGCGACCGCAACGGAGCGACGCAGTTCAATCCGCCCGCGGGCGCGCAACCGCAACCGCAACTCGGCGACGCATTTCAATCCGCCCGCGGGCGCGCAACTGCAACCGCACCGCTCACCTGCCGTCTTCCTCCAGGGGATCTGAGGCGGAGGAAGGGCGTGTGTGTGTGTGTGTGTGTGTGCGTGTGCGTGTGCGTGTGCGTGTGTGCGTGTGTGCGTGTGTGCGTGTGTGCGTGTGTGCGTGTGTGCGTGTGT